TAAAAATGTTAGTTCTTAAATTCTATTTATATGTAAAAGGTAGAAACAAGGATCCTACTGACATTCATGAACATGAGAAGATGCAAGAATTTGGTGAAACTGGACCAATGATCTTTGATAGTGAAAATCTCCCACATTTTGATAGTATTGACGATGATAGCCAAATTCAATTGGATGAGACCGATTATTTTTGGATTTTGAGTTTTTACTTTGAAGATTATGACTTTGGGTTGTTTGTATGAACTAATATTTGAATTTTCTTTTTAAGATTTGATGTCCAAGTTTATGGTTTAAGACTATTTAAATTATTTATTTACTTGTATGATTATATATATTATTATTTTTGGCATTAAAAGTGAACTGCTTAAATAGCGTACCCAATGCGCTACGCTATTTACGCTACGCGATATAAGGACCAAAACGCGATGCGATGCGTGTTTTAAAAAACTGGTTATAACTACTATTGAGCATGATCTTATCCCACATCAATCAATATATATATTTAATTGTGTTAAGTCAATTAGTTATTATAATTTTGAAGAATTAATATTATTAAGACAATATATTGATTAAGTAATTAAATTTATTTACTATAAACAATAAAAAGAAAAATTAAGGGGTGTATGATTTTGAGATTTCAAGTGACATTTTGATACTTTGTCAGATTTGAGATTTTTTAAGATTCGAAACTTAGCAATCAAACAAGGAAGATAGAGAACAATTACAATTAGGAAGACAATAAAACAATATGGCAAGTAGAGAACAATTAAAATCAGGAAGAGAATAAAACAATATGGCCTCATTTACCGTCTGTTGTTGGGCTGCATAAGCCTTTTTATCCAAGAATAAATATTGTTTCAATGGTTTGATATAAGCCCGTACGGATATCTGGAGCCCGGTTTGAGACATATTTTCATCACAATTTGTTGAGACAAATCTGTTCGGCCCAATGAGGCCTTATTATTTTGTTCATCTTCGGCATGGTGAAATTATAAGAATGACCTCTAAAGGCACTGTATAGTTCCCAAAACATCCGGATCCTTTCATATTTACAATTCCACCGGGTATATAAGGGCCAATGTCATCGTTCTTGCCCTAGTACTTGCTATTCCCGTGAACATGTATGCCTTTTCTTTCCTTAATATTCTCCCAGGTATTCGGTCGATTGTGCATCATTAATTTGTCGTGTATGCCTTTTTATTGTTCTGACTGTCATCATTAGACGTCGTATTTAATTAACTTGCCAACACTTTTAATTGTGTATTTGTTGGGTTCTTATGAGGAATGCCATCGATGTGCACCTTCGAATCTAACGAATTAAATCCTAATGCAGTGGAATCTATAGTAAGGATTACGACTTACGGTTTTAAAATTTTTTGACTTTGAGATATTTTTTATTTCTGCTGTTAAATATCGTCTGAATCTCAGAGTCCGTTGGGTTGCCGGACTAGGCCTCGCCATCACGTCTCCAGTTGCTCGTCAGGCCCGTCGGATCGTCCCGAACCTTCGGTGGGTTTGCCGGACAGCTCGGAAATCGCCTTGGGTTCGAACCAGGGGTTGGACTACTGCTGGACCGGTCTGGATTGTTGCGGAATGGGATAGATTGCTTCAGGATACTGGTGACTCGGCCAGGCCGAACTGGACCTGGGCTGGCCTGGTTGACTCGGGTCTTGAGCTGGGGAATCGTGTACTGCACGCTGGAAGAGACCTAGGTCACTTACGACTCGGATATGAGCACTGGGACGCGTACGCTGCACACTGGCTGCACGAGAATACCGGGATCTTGGGACGGGTCGCGCTCGAGGGCTTCGTGTCGCGCAAGGAACTCGCAGGTCGCCAGATGGGAACGCGCGTCGCATTGAGACGCCGAGATGGGGCGTGCGATATTTTTGGATGCTGGGAGCATGTTGTGCGTATGAATCACGCGCGACAGAAGCCCTGGACAATGCCTGTGCGTGGTGCTACACGGTGCCTCGCGGTTGTGCACCTGGTGGCAGACGGAGGAGGCTGGTTGGCTGGCCGGCTATAGGTCGCGACTGACTTCGGGAGGTACGGGTTGACGATTGCCGGTATCCAGTTATCATAATTCTCGATCTTCGTGAATAATGGACAACCTTATGAGTTACAGAAACTTTTTAGGGTTGCAAATATATGTAGACGAGATATGAATAAAAGACCCAAGAATCTTAAACTGCATTACCCAAACACCTGTCGAACAATCTTGGTGGAGCGAATTAACATAAAGTGACCGATCGGTTTTTCCTCTTGGGAGAGAAAAGTCATATGAAATATATGATCTCTCTTGTGTTAGGAGGCTTGAGACTTGGTGTATTTATAGGGCTACAATAGAGACACTAGGTAGGTGTTAAATATAGGCTTCCCAAGCATGAGCCAAACTATAGGCCAAGCCCACTCCGCTCAATGCTAGAATAATAAATCATTCCACTAGAGTAATACACTAATATTAATGCACTCCCAATTCAACTTTGAATTATAATTAATTCGTTTCCTTATTATTGTTCAATTCATATCCCTGTATTTAAGATATAACTTCTGTTGATTAATTTAATTACTAAAAATTTAATTAATCAACTTCTATGTCCTTAGCTAGTACCAAAGAATTCTTTCTCATTATGTCGTAACTCAATTCGCCTAAAAGGTTTACATAATGATCCATCTTTGGCTCACTTCAGGGATGACATCAACCCAGACTTTCCCGGGATACGGTGCCCGTAAATAATATTGACGGCATATCATGCATCCAACATTACTTACCAAAATCGAGTATGTCGACCTACTAGAATAAGTCTCACCCTTGATAAATCAAATAAGTAAGTGCAGACTACATATGCCGTACATCGTATTACGGGTTAAGAATACGCAAGTAATAATTTGGTCTAGATTATTTACTCGGTCAGTGCAAACTCCTGTGGGTCGTTCAATGCATGCGAGATGTACTAGTGTAATCCATTAGTCTAAGATCAACTAATTCCAAGATTTACACTACAATCTTTCACGACCAAGGAGTTCAATTACCGTCTAGACTATGAACCATCATTTATATTTTACGAGGCACCGATAATATGATCTTATTGTTCTACACCCGGAACCATATTATGTGTAATGTAAAATAAAGGAACAATGGTCGCATAAGTACATTAACAGCAAATAAGCACTTGACAAAAACATAAATTCTCATTCAAAATGTTATTTTCAGAAACTGAAAACTAAGCTTTTACAGTATACTCTACCAATCTCACACTTATACTATATAAAGATGTCGGCTAACAAAGATAATATCTTTCAATCTAATTCTTAAAGATCTATTTAACTAGTCACCACACGTCTGACTCCCATTCCCTCTACATGCCTTTTGAGCACCTTCGTCAGAAGGGCATTCGTGAAAGGATCAACTAGGTTGTCTTCTGACGCTCTCTTAGCATCAAAGACTTCCCGTCATCCAACGATTTCTCGTATCAGCCGGTACTTGCGCTCTATATGTTTACTCGCCTTGTGTGTCTGTGGTTCCTTCGAGTTCGCTACTGCTCTGTTGTTGTCACATAAGACCGTGATCGCAGCAGGCAAACTCGGTACCACACCAAGGTTTAGTAGGAAGTTCTTGAGCCACACCGCTTCTTTTGTTGCCTCTGAGGCCACGACGTATTCAGCTTCCATGGTGGATTTTGCCACGCATTTCTACTTAACACTCTGCCAAACTATGGCTCCACCTTCCAGTGTAAACACAAACCCTGAGGTGGATTTACTTTCATCCCAATCTGACTGAAAATCAGAATCAGTATATCCCAGAGGGAGCAACTCGTCTTCTCGATAAACTAACATATACTCTTTAGTCCTTCTCAGGTACTAGAGTATATGCTTCACTGCAGTCCAATGTTCCGGCCCTTGATTACTTTGGTATCTCGTTACCATTCCTATGACGTAGCAGATATCCGGTCGTCTACACAACATTGCATACATGAGTCTTCCTATTGCCGATGCATAAGAAACTGCCTTCATGTCATCTATGTTTTGAGGTGTCTTAGGAGACATCCTCTTAGACAAAAGAATCCCATGCTGAAAACGCTACTGCCCTTTCTCTGAAAAGATAGGTCAAGCAGGATCGTCGTTGCCAAACCAAAACGAACGGACATGATTAAGTGTACAAACAGTGGGTACACTGCACAAGGCAGACATAGACTGCTAGGGGTTCACATCTATTGGACGGGTGTTAGGGTAATGTGTTTATTCGTCAGAATTTCAGAATTTGAATTTTGAACTCAGAAGGAGGGTAGTAGGTCGAACATAATGAAAGTAGCTAGACAATGTAGGAATATGACGGTCGACACTGCATGACAAGAGCTCAAAGCATCAGGATAAAAAACGGCTATCTACTCTTATCGAGTTAAAATAACTCTACCAGAGTGGGAGGGGAGGGGCAGATGATAAAGGATGCCAGACCAGGTCGAATAAACTTGATAAACTAGCCAACTGGGTTGAGAAAACAGGTTGGTCGAACAGAACTACAGAAAGATCGACAGGGGTTGAACATGGTGTTATAATAAACGAATCACCAGCAAGTCGAGCGAATGATTTTGGAATCATAGGTCGATTGGTTGACCTTTCGGACATGACACGAGCTCAGGGAAGATAACATTCTACCTCAAGATAACAAGTATTAGTGGTAGGGTCAGAGCGTCTAATAAAGAAGACTTAGAGATAAGAGGGAATATTATGAAGATAAGAACCACACAGGGATTAGACCACGTGGCCTAACAAAATTTGTTAGTTTGGACAGTTCAGGTAGTAAGAACAGCCAGTTCGGGCAGTGCGGGCAACCCACTCGGAAAGTTCTGGGCAACAAGGTATCATCTCTCTATATAACGGAGTGAGGTATGCCCAGTATTACATCACATCCGTTGTACTCTCTACATACATACAACACATCATCTTCTTCACTGTGCTAACTTAACCATCGGAGGCTCTTCACCGAAAAACTTCTCTGGTGTGAGAGTTTTTGCAGGTCTCAAGGATGATCTACCTGCGAGGAGCTTAAATCAGGCGAATTCCAGCCATTCGAGGGCCTTTTGTGTACTAATATCAAATTAATTATATCATAAAAACAATATGGACCATTTTGAACTAAATGCATATGTTATCTATGCAGTTGATATGAATTAAATATGTATGCTAAATATGCATTTTTGTATGATCCAAGTATTCATTATGGGTGAAGTAAATTTGTACTAGAATACGCGGTTGATATGAGCTAAATATGCATCTCATATGAACTAAATATATATTTTTTACGAACTAAATGTGCAACATGAATATCAACTATTTATGTATTGTTCAAGAACTATATATGCACTTCGTATGAACTAAATGAGCATTTCGTATAAACTAAATATGTATGCTAAATATGCGTTATTTTATGAACCGAATATGGCTTGTTTATAAAGTAAATTTTCACTCGAAATACGCAGTTGATATGAATTAAATATAGATTGGGCATGGAATAAATATGTATTTTATATGAACTAAATGTGCAACAATAATATCAACTAAGTATGTATTGTTCATGAACTAAATATGCATTTCGTATAAGCTAAATGTGCAATCAAAATATGTTATTGACAACAATAACTTGTAGTATTCAACTGTTCAACTAGGTATGCATTATGCATGAACTAAAATATGCATTTATATTATCTAAATATGCACAATATATAAACTAAATGTGCATTAATTATATAATAAAAATCCAAGAAATAAAGTGCAATTATTCAAACTTTAAATAAATTATATATTGACCGAAAGGATCAAATTATAATAACTTATAAGTTTATAAAATTGCAACTAAATCCCAGAATGCCTTAATCAGATTTCAGCCCAAAATCAGGTCTTCCTTCTCCTGACCCTCGTCGTCCTCCACCCGTTGTGCCCTCTTCGTTGCTGCCTCAACCGGAGACGTCGCCACCTCGTGTCAGACCCCGCCTTACTACTAGCTTTTAAAAATCAGAGTAAAATTTTTGTTTTTATTTTCGAAAGAACGTGCGAGCTGGGTTTTCGAAAATACTGACTTATTGCGGGATGTGGCAGATAAAAACTTAAACTGAACTCGGGCTTGCCCGCAGACATAATAAAAAAACATGCAACCAAACTATCCGCTCGCGGATTATGGAATTATACATGCGTAGTCTGTACTGTCTCGCACTGTCTAGAAAACTCGCTGGCGGAATCATCCGAAATACGAATACATAACGTGCATACATAAACTGAATAAAATACACATGATCATAAATCTAGAACATAAAAATGCTGGTAAAATATGTCCGACTCTCATGATCACGCTGCGCCACATCTGTGCTCATCCGACACGCTCGACTCCGTCTCCTGAAAAACACAATGGGGGCGTGAGCAAACCACTATGCTCCGCAAAGACCAGTACTGAACAAAACATCATCTATAATAACGTATCATGAAACATAAATATATAAGAGCTGAAACTGTAAACTGATCTCTGCTGTCTGTTCTGATCTGTGGTCAAAAGACCCTCGGCCTTAGCCGCTCGTGTGCACACGCCGATGGGGTATAAAGGGCCTCGCCCCTCCCAACGGTCATCAGGTGGGTATAAAGGCCTTGGCCACCCAACCCGGAACTAAACTGTCTCAAACATACCTATACCATGGTACAGATATTATCTATGATGTGACATCCAGTACATGACCCCCACCTGAAAACTTGGAAATCTGATATGCAAGTGCGGATGCTGGAGTAGCGGTCAAAGGCTCGACTCTCCTTAGGCTACATAAATATTTAAGCAAAATAATGCTAAGTATAATGCTCAGAATATTTAATTATATGCTAAAATGCTCGGACTTATCTACGCGATTAAACTGGACTGGACTGGCTCGAAAAAATACTGAAATTTTCGAAACTGTACTCGGATCAGAAATCACGAGTCAAAACTGACTCGAACTGCCGGTCGAACCGACCGGTTCGCTGGCTGGCCGGACCGCCGGCTCAGCT